CTCTGTGTACGATCTTTTGCGTTTTCTGCTGTGGGTTATTTATCAACTAAATAAAGTTTTTCTTCCGCAAAGACACTTTGTCAGGGACTTTTATTTTTAAGTGGCTTCGTTTTTGGATTGTTGAAAGACGGCAAAATATAAGTGGAAGAAAAGCGTTAGCCATATCTGAAAGTAAATAAGCTATTTTTTATATTGTATTTTATTTTAATATTAAAATAATTACATATTGGCATAGTTTCTATTATATTTAAGAACATTTTGAGTTAGTTTGAGCTAAAGGAAAATAGCAAATTTTATATGTTTCTATGCACTTCTACGGTACCCTGCGTACACGTTCGTGGGTAACCGCGCTCGAACACTTATTTTTTCTTTCCTAGGGATAAGTGTCCGAGAAAACAGCAACGGAAATTATATGCAAATAACTCTTTCCCACTGAGTGAGAGCACACATTAAAAATAAATCACCTTCTCTCTGTTGTGGGCTATTTTTTCTCTTAAATAGTAAGAATTATTTTGGGACACTTTCAAAGTGGAGAGGGTTATTTTCGATCCCTGCTTCAAAACTTACCCACTCTGAATCTCAGTTTACAAATGTACTTTCAACATTTCCACCATCTTCAGCGAATCTTTAATCAACGGTCACTGCCAGTGTTGCCAGAACTTTCTGGGCCAACCGGCTAGATTGGCAAAAAAAAACCGGCTAAAAACGGCTAAACTGTTTCAACTAAATTTCACATGTTTTATTTAAATAAATCATAAGTAGAAAGACTAGTTCTTGGGGAGAAGTTGCAAATTCAAGCTGGAAAAGATTTTGGCGGCAAAAATTTGCAATTAGAAAAAAACATATGAATGTGGCACATGGTTGTATTTTTTGTCGACAATAATTTGAATAAACAGGTTCGTCAAATTTAAAAATTTACAAACTTAAGCGATTTATAATAAAAATTTAAGTAAATACTTGTTTACTTAATTAGTTTAGTTAATTCCAATGATTTGAAACGTACTCGTAATCCAATCTCAACCAGAGTCGATATAGTAAACGCGACAGTTAGTACGGCAAAGAAATTGAAACGTATGTTGAAGAAAGTCGGACTAGCAAGAAATATACATGTAGATGTTGTTTTTTGTCCCTCTGAAAGAACTTTAAAATTCTATACAAACTTCTTATGTTTTAAATGCAACCGTGGACACTAGCTGGCAGGGAAACTGGCAAATTCCTGCAAATTTGCGTTCGTGCAGAAATTTTCAAGTTTCTCTACTTGAGAGAGAATTTGGGAGCATTTTTTCTTACTAACTGATATTTTGAGTGATAATTTTCGCTGGATTTTCGACGAACAAACCTATTGTCTTCCTAGAGAGTTTTGCTTTACATAAAAATTTGTGCTCTTTTACTCTCATTTTTATGCATGNGAGTGGGCTATAAAACTGCATACTCAAAATCTTTCTAAGAAATCTAATTAAATAGCTAGAAATTTACCAGACACCATCCAGGATCCACCAAATTAATTTTGCAAATCTTACAGCGGATTCGTAATTTGCGATCCCGACAGCCGACTAGTACGAAATTGCGAATCATTTCTTTAAAGCATCGAATTTTGGCCGCACTTTTGGATTTCGGTCACACTATGTGGCGGAGTAAAAAATTATAGTATCTCTGGTGGTGTGCCAAAAGGATCCGTTTTCGAACCAACACTCTGAAACGCCATGTATGACGGCGTTTTGCACTTGAAACTGCCAAAGGGTGCAACAATAATCGGATTCGCTGACGATATAGCAGTGGTAGTGGAAGCCAAACATATGCAAGATTTAAAAATGGATGCAAACTCTGAAATCCTTCGGGTACACGATTGGCTGGCAGAAGCAGGCCTAGAGCTGTCACACCAGAAGACTGAGGCAGTATTGGTCGGTAGTAGGAAGTTGCGAGGCGTGGCCAAAACCAGTGTTTGCGGCAACGAAATAAGCTCGACGGCATCATTTTCGATACTAGGCTCACATTTAACAGCATTGAAGACGAAATATTTCGCTCGGAAAGCTAGATCCGACTATGCGTTTTAAGAGTGTGAGCCACCTTTCGAACAACGTCAGAGGAGGCAGCGTTAACAATTGCAAATCTCTGTCCTATTGTACATAGCGACAAGAGATATAGTTGCATAGTTGCAACTACGGATAAGCACCTGTAGGAAAAGGTGAGGCGAAATTGTGGCAAGACCGCTTTACAGGAGACATGGAGAGATTGATTTCCATCTGAACCAAATACTAACCGGTCATGGCTGTTTTAAAGCACACTTCGACAGATTTACGCACGAACACGACCCGTACTGCACCTTCCGTACAGGACAAATAATACGCTGAACATTGATTTATTGCCTGCCCGGAGTTTGCAGCCCAAAAGGAGTACTTGAGCATAAAGTTGGGGAGGCCACTTAAGGTTGATAACCTTGTAAATAGACATCATGCTTGAGTCAATAGAAAATTGGACTCATAAAGACGCATAAAGGCTCCGAATTATGACAAATCTAAGGTCGTAACCAAGAGGATATTAATGAGCGCGTTATGGATATTCCCCAATGGACTGCAGTTTAAATGTTTTGTCGTCAGATGAAATTTACAAATCTCGTTGTTACGCTGCGCGAAAAAAGACAACAATGCATCGGATAAGTGATAAAAATTGTATTAAGGCATTAGCAAAACAGTCACGTGTTATTTTTCGCACGCCATCTAGGTTGTTTAAAAATAGTTCAGTGAACTTCAAGAAACAATTGTTACTGTTTTTGAACTTAATTACAATGGCACACATTAGCCTGCCATTCAAATACAATTTGCACAATTATTTTTATTGGTTTACTTTTTCTAACGACTTGTACCTAAATACATTTCTACCAGCCAGCGTTGTTGTAATTGCAAATTTCAGTTCTTAAGCGTGCAACGTTTTCGAGCTTTAATTCAAATACAAATACATACTCGTACATATGTACATACATGCACTCAAATACATACATATGTCTGTACGTGACGACTCATTAAAAAGTAATTAAATACTCACAAAAGGTACATATGCACAGGTAGGTTCATAGCTTTTCGAATTATGCAGTTCACAACAAGCGACCGCATACAGACAGACAGACAGACAGACAGACGTACTCTAACTAAGCGCGTACTTAAAAAATTGACAGTCTGCTAGACACACGCTTTTGTTAGCGATCAGATTTATATGAATATTTGCAATGGGCGCACAGTGTGCCATGTAGAACAGGCCAGATGGAAATAAAAATATTTGTGAATATTTTTGGTGTACATTTAGGATGCTGATTTCCAATATATACAATCCGTTTTATCATACTGGTTACACAGTGCAACACGATTATACATATTTGCTGAAATCAAAAGTAAATGAAAGCTTAAAGCTCCCACAACAAAATCCCAAAAGGATTTTTAGCCTTTAAATCTGAATCAGTTTATGAGTAAATATTTAAAGTTGGTGACAGGAAAAATTGTGTAAAATTCGATAAAATAATGTAATTATTCTGGAAATTTATGGTATTCAACTGTTTTTTGGGTCGAGGAATTTATTTTTGATGTTTATTTTTACCTAAAACCTACGCTAGGTGGTGCTGTGGTACAATTTTTTTTATTTTTTATTTTTTATTTTTTATTTTTTTTTTTATAGAAAAGTAGTATATTTACTTTTTTTTAAGGCTGAACAATCCATTTGTTATGCTTCTTTCAAGAAGGTATCATTTTTTTGTAAACGAGCCGAAAAAGAACGGCAAGAAATATGTGATTAGCTTAAGTGTTTCATATATAAAAACCAATGCAAATGAATAATTTTAAATAATTTAAAATATTAATTATGTGAATAAATAAAAAAAATTTCGCTAAGCACTTTACATCATCAATTCACAACAGAGCAGTTTTCCACTTAACAACACTACGCTTCAGGTCGCGTATTTTTTAACCGATCTGGCTGAACTCGGATAAATAGCCGAGTTTGCGTTGTCGCTTTGCATGTATTTCGTTACTTTACCGAGTGTTCTTTTATAGCTCGGTTGCAAAAGAATGCACCTATTGCAAAAGTTATGCTAGAAATGTTACAAAATGATTTTCTTAATTAAAAAAACAATATTTTCTATTACCAAATGGGCTTCTTATTTATCTTAAATAAATATGGTATGAAAGTAATAAAGGAAAATATTAAGAAAGTTTTTTCTCCGTAAAAATGTTATTTTTCTCATAAAACATTTCACATATGGGCATATCCCAAAAAACTTCCATTTTTGTCGCGCTCGTACCGTTTTTTATTTGCTTGCATCTTTGAACGTAACTGTTTATACTTCCAAAAATTTTTGTTGAATATAGCAGCTTCCCAGTGCCTTGTAACACTTATGCTATACATACGATCTTTCTGTTTCGCTCCTATTTTAAGTTTAGTTACGCGTGCGAAAGTCGAGTCCGTAGCCCACGATATGCCTATATGTAAAAACTTTTTCTTACGATAATGCAATATTCTTTTTAACAAAAATAATGAATTGATCTTTTTTACATTTATAAACACAATTGATGTTGCTAGGATATATTCAAAACCTAGCCCAGTGACAAGGTATGTTACTTTCGGTGCTTGAAAGTTGTCCATGCAGTCAATTGCCCTTATTAGGCTAGAACTTGGAAGCAAAAAGTTGGAATATTAGCTTTTATTGAAAATAAGACAGAGTACAAAAGTCTATGGTACAACTAGCAGACCCGGCGAACTTCGTACCGCCCAAAATGAAATTTATTGTATTGAAATATTTTTGTCCAACATTTTAAACAACAGTTCGCGTTCACGATTTTCAGTGACGCATTTTTCTTTTAATCACCCCTATCACCGTTATCGATGTCGGCATAAATCGAGTCGACAGTGATTACTTCGAATCACCACTGCCGAGCTCGACTGTATATCGAAACTGTCGCATCCTTGTAGTCGAGTTTACATTCGAATGTCAAAAATAACGGAAAATATTTGTCGAGTAATTTTTTGTAGTCGTCAAGATGGAAAAAAATTTAAAAATTACAAATTTCAATCAATTTGAAACATTAGTGAAGTATATGGAAGACAATCCGAGTTTTGCACGAGGATTTAATAAAGGAGTTCATAAAATTGACGTCAAGCAAAAATGGAACTCACTCGCATTGACCTTGAACAGTATTGGACCACCAACACGAGACGGCGCAGGCTGGCAAAAGGTAATCATTAAAAAACAAAAACTCAACGATTTTCCAGCTGACGTAAAAAATAAAATTCTAGGTTTGGATCGACTTAAAGGGAAAAGTTAAGAAAAAAATTGTCCACAATAAACGCGAAGTAAATGCTACAGGAGGAGGCGTTTTTAATCAACAGTCGCTTTCCCCATTGGAAACCCGTGTCGCCAATGTAATGTGCTTTAATGAGATGCTAAATCCAATTGGCAAAGCCTTAGGCACCAGCAATATCGTACCAACAAATGCATCCACATCTTCAGGAACAAAGCCATCTGCGCCACCAAATCCCATTTCAACTCCATCACCGGAAGAGATGATGTTAATGGATTTGTTGTCCGACGAAGAAATAGCAGAGAATGTTGCTGGTTCCAATTCTTTACTTGAAAGCGCTAAAAAAACCCAAGTAAAGAGTCAAAAGGAACTTCTCGTGGATCAAATCGATATTCAGAGGAGTTTTTACAACGAAGTTCGACTGAGTTTTAAAAATATTGAGGAACACATGAAAGATTCAAAAGAGTTTCAACATAAATTGCTACACCTGGAGGAGGAAAAGTTAAAACTAGCTAAGGATAAGTTTGAGTGGAAGAAAAATAAAGCTGAAAGAAAGGCAAAAAAAAGTCTGAAGAGATTGTAATTTCTTTTATTTTTAATGTTCAATAAACATTGAGTTCCTTATTCCGTCTCTTATGCGAATTGCTACATTATTATTGTCAGAACTTGTTGGCATATCTAGGCTTAAATGTGTTCCATGGCTCTCCTGGTTTTCTAATTGCCCGATACAGGGAGCATTGTAGAACAAACAAATGTTATGTAACGCAGCACATACGTTAACAATTTTTGTTGCTTTTGTTGGAGAGTAATGCAGCTGACGAGCAGAAAGCAGGCACCGGAATCTATTTTTTAAGACCCCGATGGTTCTCTCCACTATGTTCCGTGCTTTGGCGTGTGCAATGTTATACTTGCTCTCCAAGCTATTCAGTTCAGCTGCCCGATACGGTGTCATTAAAAATGGTTCCAGAGGATATCCTGCATCCCCTATATTTCACAAAAAAATTACTATAAATAGAACATAATCGTTAGACAACCTGCCTAAAATCCACGAATTCCTTTCCCCATTCTCGTAGTTTTGTTGCATCATTCGCCTTAGTTCACTGGTATTCCACACCAATGCATCATGACTAGCTCCGGGGTACCGTGCGTCAATGTACCGAATCCGCATTTTATGATCACACACCTACAAATCAATAGCAAAATTTTCTATTTCAAAATCTTTTTGCATTAAACATATGTATGTACTTACAATCATTGCGTTCAGACTGGAAAACCCCTTTCTGTTGAAATACATATGTTGCTGATCCTTACACGGAGTAATTATTCTAATGTGGGTACCATCCACACAACCAATAACCCCAGGAAAGTGGGTATTTTCATAAAAATGTTGTTTTGCTTCCATCTTTTCTTCATTAGTCATTTCCATTGTTATCCACTTTGGACAAATTTGTTCTTCCAGACAATCTAGCACCTCCTTTAGGACTCCAGACATAGTCGACTGCGCAATGCCTATATTTAAATCATTACCGGCTCCAAGTTGATAGCTTCCCTCCGCTAGAAATCTTAAGGTAGCTGCAAATTTTAATTCTGCCGACACAGCGGATGTACGGGAACGTTTTTTCAATTTGTCTTTGATTTCAGTTAGCACGTACTTGAAAGCATCTTTTGTTAATCGAAAATGTTGCACAAACCTACAATTATTTAAAAGTTTTGTATTATTATTAGAAATTTGGGTTCACAACTTACTCTTTATCACATATATTTAAGAAGTTGGAGCGGTTTCTTATGTTTTTTCGAGACTGTGACAAGTTATCAGCAGATCTTTCTTCATTTATAAAAAATATAGCAATGGTATCCATTTATTTAAGCCGTTTGATATATTTTCCTACTCAAAACACATTTCTGGCGGTTTTACAAGTTTTTATTTGTTTACATTCTTCCTCTTTTCACGTTTGCAGTTCACAATTTAAAGCAACATATGACATTTTGTCGAGTAATCGTCGACTTTATTTTGTGATGAGGATTTTTAGTCGACTCGACGGAGTGGTCGACATGAACTGAAATCGACACTCGACAACGGTGATAGGGGTGAATATTACGGTTTGGTGGTTGTCAGAAGGCATATTTCCATTGCCGTCTTAAATAACCTAGCAAAAGTGTATATGAATACAAAGGTACGTAATAGTTTCACTGCGTTTGAAGAGCGTGACGCCCCTTTTCAAATAGCCCCAATTTTCTCTAAGAGTATGGGATCGATTTCATATACATATCTCCATACCATCACCATATATCACCATGAACACTTCCGGAGATATGCAGTGTGAAAAATTTGGTTTGTATGGGAGATGACATGCCGCTTTTTCCAATAGCCCTAATGTTTCTTCATGACCATGGGATTGATTTTATATATCTTGTATATACCAAGTTCCAGTAATCTTCGATGAACACCTCCAGAGATATGCAGAGGGAAAAATTCGGTTTGTATGGGAGGTGCCACGTCCCTTTTTCCAATAGCCCCAATTTTTCTTCATCACTATGCGATTGATTTTATATATCTTGTACATACCAAGTTCCAGTACTCTTACCATGAACACTTTCAGAGATATGCAGTGTGGAATCGGTTTGTATGGGAGGTGCCACGCCACTTTTTCCAATAACCCCAATGTTTCTTCATGACTATGCGATTTATTTTATATATCTTGAATCCACATTTCTTGAGATATTGGACTTTGAGTTGATCAACAATTTCTACAATTAAGCTTTACAGTCCATGAAAGTTCCACACAACCTCAATTTCAAACTTTTTTTTAGGAAATGGAATTTCCTAAAAATTTGTCATTTATATTTTTTCTATAGCTCTTATTGTTTTCGAGATATGGGCAAAAAACGAGAATTTCATGAAAAAATTGGGTTTAGTGACCCGTACTACCTCGATGGTGGAAGATAAGATTACACCGGAATGAACACTTTTGTAGAGCATTCAGCTCTGAAGAAAACCCATTATCGACCAAGATTATACCATAAAATGCCTCTGAGCTGTAGACTTTTGAAGAAAAAAACTCAAAGTTTACGTGTATTTTACATGGGAAATCTTTGCACGCCTTGGGCGAGTACTTAATTTTAATATTAGGGGTTAAAATTTTCAGGTGTTTTCCACAACATTTCGAGGTAAGAGTGAAAAAAACAATAGTCTCAAAAAAGCAGTCTAATACATATGTATATGTAAAAAATGCAAAGTTCAGGACATATTTTTTTAAGTAAGTTTGCCCACCTAGACTGTTGAAATATCGCACTGTGGAGCGGCTGGGAACGTGTCGAAAGTCAGCTAGAAGTGAGTGAAGCGAATTGTTGGTTTGCATGAGCTTGAGGATGTTCGTGTGTAATAAACCAGTTTTGCGCGCTGACGGGCACGTGTGGCGCCCTAGGTCACTAACCGGTGGTGAAGCTAAAAATAGAGCAGCTGTGAACTAAAAATAATTAAGTCGCTGAGAAAGAAGTACGTATAAATACATGTACATGTGTGAAATGCGTGAAAATTTGCAAAAACAAACAGGCAAGAGATCAAATTCATAGATTTGGAGTATACAGTGTTCATTTAAGAGCAGAAGGTTAGATCTGTATACCGAATGTTTAGCTAATGATGTGGTTTTGAAATAATAATATTGCTGAAAAATGTTTTATCTTCTTTTCTTATTTGGCTCCACAACTTTCGCCAGTTTCGGGCAGCGGTTCTTTTTTAATAAAATTTTTTTTCCTTTTTAAATTTAGTTTTCTTTTATTTTAAAATTTTGTTGTTTTAAAAGAAAATATATACTTTTTATTTCATTTAATTTTTAAAAACTTGTTTTATGCATTTTTTCTTATTTAATTTAATTTTTTTGTATATCTTAATTTAATTTCCTTTTAGCTTTAAGATTTTATTGTTACAAAAGAATTTTTTTTTCTTTTAATTTTTAGGAACTTTTTTTATTTTTTCTCTATTAAATTATTATTTTTTCTTTTTTGGTTAAATTTTCTTTGAACTTTTAGATTTTATTGTTTAAAAAATAAAAATATTTCTTTAAATTAATTAAATATTTAGAAACCTGTTATATTTATTTTTTATTTAATTTGTTTCTCTGATAATTTTTGGGATTTTATTTTACACTTTCATTTTTATTTTAATTTTAATTTTCCGTTTTCAATTTATTTTCTATAAATTTTTGGATTTTGTTGTAAAAATAAATTTTTTTTTATTTAATTTAATATTTAAGTATTTATTTGATTTGCTTTTTCTTTTTCTAATTTAATTTAAAAGTTTTATTGTTTTAAAAGGAAACAAAAAACTTTTTAATTTCATTTAAATTTAAAAAATATACCATATACGCAGTGCTAAGAAGGCTTATTCCGCGGACACTGGCCAGGCACTGGATTGGGTAAATTACATGAGATTCTAATCTGCGGTCCTGATCAAACGATACAAAGTCTGCTTAAAGGTGGTACCTACCTATTCCATGGGCTTTTTTGTTTCTTAGATGCATTTTTGCTGCTCTTACTTGGCTTTGGTCGAATGTAGGGACGTGAACTTCATCCCTATACTTTGCAGGGAAGACCGATGCCAGTCATAAAATCTATTTATAGCTGCCTTTAGTGTCAGTGGCTTCTAAACCTGGCTTCCTATATGGATAAAAACAAGTAAGGAGAGACAGATTTTCGTTGCAAAAAATAAGAGCTCGCTTCTGACTGAAACTACGTAAACAGCATGCGACTACAGCTCAGATACCAAACCTTCGAGGGAAACATCTACCCATCGCCATTGATTTGGGATTAATGAGGACTGAGTATCTGGCGTATCTAGGTCAATATGATAGAAGTCCAATGGAAGCATAGAACGAGACTTGAGGCTAAGTTAATTCAGTCAGAGAATTTCACTCTTGCAAAAAAGGCGCAGAAAGCGTTTATCACAAGTTCTCCCTTCATTAGTTGTCAAGATGAAGATAAAGGACCGATTCTGAATATTATATACTGATGCCTAGGCGATCTATGTATTTCGGCCTACTATATTCCCTTATTCAAGCAATGTGCACTTATGCCTCTGACTAAAAGTATGAGGTTCTTTATACAGATTGGTTAATAAGCGGCTGCCACTCTGTCTACCACTCTAACTTTTTGAGTTTCCTAAGCCCTTACGTAGAATCTCAAAGGAATACAAGTTTTCAGTGTCTTTGAAACGCATTAAGAAGCAATTGTCTCAACTCGTGGCTGCCGTAGCAGAGTGGTTAGATTTGTATGTGTACGAGCAGTAGGTTGGGTCCAGGCTCGATTTTTGGTCTGATCGACCGTCGAAACAAGTTTTTTTCTAATGGCGATCGCCGCTCGGTAGGGAATAGGAAATCTCCGAGTTTACTTCTGTCATGAGAAAGGTCTGTAAAAATCATCTGACATTCAAAGGTAGGGTGGCCAGATATTATAGTGACATAATCAGTACAGTTGGGATCAAAAATCAGTACAAAGCCATAAAATCAGCTCATTTTTAAGCGTATTTTTTATTATTAACAATATAACAACCAAATAACAGCGCATTAATTTAACAAAAAATAACTAATAGACTTTTAAATACATATAGTATTATCAATATAAAAATTCATTACTTTAAAACAAGTCAAAGTTATTACGTATGTATGTACAGCTGTGCTCAGGAAAATAGTAGTAAAATGTATTGACAGGTTTTGAAAATTTTTTCTTTCCTTACTTAATTTAAATTTTTTATAAAAATATAGTTAATTCTATAACAAAAGACATGTGAGTTGAAGTCTCAAACTTTCTAGAAAATTTATAAAAATTAAGAAAAATTAAAAAAAAAATTGTAGACCATTCAGTTTCAGTAGAAGACGAGCTCGAGTCAGAATCTGTTTGCATATTTTAAGCTACAAATTTAAAACATATTTAGTTGGTGTGCTTATTAAATACAACATTCACATTAAAATGTTGACTAAAAGGTATATTACCGAATTATCGCTAAACGAAGTATGAATGAAATTTAATAGTAGGCATGTTTTATTCAACCATCACAAGCAAATAGCTAAATCTTGGTCAAATAAAACGAAATTAGCTTATTTCCTATGTTAGCCTAATTTTGACAGTTGTTTGACTGCAAATAGTGTCAAAGTAAGTTTTTGCCTCTTTCTGATTGGCTGAAGGAGAAAATTTCTGATGCTGAATGGCAATGCCTCTTGTTCAATATACAAGCCAAGATAGCTTTTCATAAGCCATCATAATTATGTTGGGTAAGTCCGCCATACAAAATAAGCTAATAGCTTAAATTTCTGAGCAAATAAAACACGGCTAGTGTTAAATGTGTATGTGCAAGTAAAATTACAGGTGGTCGAACATCAAATATCAAAGTAAAGCTACATATATCATATCCAAGAGTCGGTAGTTTCCACCTTTTCCAAATTTTTAGAACTTACATTGCACCGTAGCAGTAGTCGTTTTAAGTTTGAAATACTGACAGCCGATTTCTCAGTAGATGTTTAATTATAATCAAAAGATAATCTCTTATTGTCATCTTCTCAGTGTACTTAATATATGATTAACTCACCACCACCTTTCAGAAGATTTATTTATGGCAAAACCAGCTTTTCCTGTAAATCCTGTAAAACCTGCAAATCGTGATTACAAATCGACACCTTTTTAATAATGGTTCAAGTTTAATTAATGCTTTCAATCTGCTCACACGTATGAGTTGTGAAAAACCATTGTTTTGACCATGTAAACCTCAAGTAAATGTCAATTACACCAATTTACAAAAGTATTTATTAGATGTAAAAATCAGTACAAACTCAAAAAATCAGTACATTTTGCGTACTGATTTCGGGCTCTTAAAAATCAGTACAATAGAAAAAATTCAGCACATGTACTCATTAAATCAGCGCATCTGGCCACCCTATTCAAAGGTGATGTAAAACGGTAGATCCCCCCTATATGTGTAATAACATCGAACATGCATTGCGCACTAAAAATTTGAGAATTTTCGCGGGGTAAAAAATTTGAACATCCGTAAAAATCTAAAATTATCAAATCG